TTGCTGGAAAATATGATTTTAATACGTGAAATTATATCTATAAATATAGTACTAAAAATAACAGTACACATGAAGTACATGTATGATTGTGTTTAGAAATGTTTGAAACCCCTACGGAAAATTCTGTCTGCATTTTGTCACCATTGCTCTTTCTTCCCGCATTCTAGTGCTGTTTGAATGAATATATTGATTAATGTATTTCTAACTAAAACATATCACATTAAAAAATTATTCAATACTTGAGTGAGCACGATATGCAAGGGTTACTAAGTTGACACAGTAAATGACCACTGATATTGTGTTAGCCCATGCACACAGCGTACACCCCTCACTTTCATAGTGAAGTGACTAATTGGTTTGTGTTTTGGGTTCCTTGTTACAGCAAGGGGGGCCAGTAAAGTAGACTAACATGTTTGCATGGCAAATTTTGATCGAATATGTGAGACACTTTAGTTTGGGAGCCGCTTTTTGCATTCGCGAATAAAAACTAGGTTCTGTTCAAGGGTGCCCCAGATATTTGTTTGGTATTGATATTTATGTTAGTCTCAGATAAAGATGAACGTGTTTTTCACTTCTTTTCAATGCCTGTTATGGAATGTTGCCATGTTTATATTACTTACACATTTGTACCTCTTCCTAAGTGATACTATACTATCCAGTGTTACTTCACTTTTAAGGATTGGGCATGATATTTTTGGGCGTGAAGGCCCACTGGATAGCTATCTACACATAACAGATGTTTCAAGGTTTGGAGAGATGGAAAGAAAAGTTTCTAAACTGATCTTACCCTTAATTCAACCAGAGCTGGCGTTAACGCCGTTTTTTACCGTTTTTACGCACATTTGATCAAGTCTGACGCAGAATTGACAACTAATTGCGTTTCATTGACGCACTTTGATCCCAAGATAGACTAACGCTATTTCCCAGGAAGATTAGCAATACACAAGAAAAAACAATGTTTTGACCGATATCTTACCGATCAGATTTATTCTCCTGCTTTCAGACGAAAATCTCCGGCTTTCAATTAAGTTTAACATATCAAATGAAAGAATATAAATTGGCCTACCTTGTGAAGACAAAATCTAAGTATAATAGGCAGATAATCAGCAGTGTTTTAGAGAAACACTGAAATAATTATCTTACTGTAATCCGGCCACCATTTTGATTGACCTCTCAAACCAAAACGCATTGCTTTGAGATTAATGGGTCAGTAGCAAAAAACCTTTATCACTGTCCTGCCAACTTTCAATGGATACTATTATTAACAATTACGCATAAACTTGAAAACAAACTGTTTAATTAATACAATTGATCTTCTTGGCATTATCTTACATCATAGTGAGGCAGCACAAAGGGCAACATTTGAAAACAAATAAAATATTACAAGTCAGAGTGTTGATCCTTATATTTCATTGAGATTGATAATGTGTAAGAAAGGAGTATTGAGTTTATTAATTTACACCAGAGTGAGGAGGAACAAGGGACAACATTGAAAAACAAAGTAATTAAGAAAAAAATTACAATAAATTATGTATTGATCTGCTTTATTGAAATCAATTGCTCATGTACAGTTTGATACAAGTGGCAGGAAAATACTGATTTTATCTTATGGTTAAATGCTTTCAAAAAAAAGTTCAAAAATCTGCATAATTTATCTGAAAAAATAAAAATAAAGTTTTCTATCAACACAATTTTTTCTTATTTTTCTTATTGTTTATATAAAGAGAGGGTCTAAATTTCAAAATTTTCGGGGGATGGCATGCTCCCAGACCCCCTAGTTTGCGCCGCACTGCTATTTGGTCATTATCCATTGATTTGGTTTATGTTTCACCCAGCCGTTTGGCCTAAGCTGATTTTCAGTCTCATTGCAGCACATTTATTTTTGTACTTTAGATTATCCGAAAATGACGCTTTATTATCATAATTCAATTTGACCCACATTTTCCAAGTTTGACCCACTTTTTTGATTGAACTGGGTCATGTGACCCACAAAATGTTGAGGCTACCGCCAGTACTGCAACACTTTTCCAACATGAACACAACACTTGTGCCACCCCTTCCAAAATCACTCAATATACTGATAAGTTCATTCACTTGAATAGGTATAGATGTCACTATACTATCCAGCGTTACTTCACTTTAAGGATTGGGAGAGATATTTTTGTCTGTTTCAACCATTTGTTATACATTCGATCCATACCCCCGGGATCCATACCCATTGAAGCAGCATATCACTACCAAAATCCCTTTCCCAATACTCAAAAATGAAATCAAATTAACGAAACAGAGAATTTGGGAATTTAAAACAAGAGACTTTCAATTCTCCCTTTCGCGGTTCGCTCTTTGAATCAGAACGTTCGCAAATATGTACTGAAAAAGCACTCAAAAAGGACAAAATTTGATTGGTTAATATTTTCCCACTATGTATTTCGCGTAGCTATTTGCGTGACCCGAAAGTTCTAAATCAAACTAATTGCGCAATTTTGTTTTTACACCCGCACGCTAAATAAAACAATGACACTATCGGAAGTATTCTTCTTTGTCATTGCTTTAATAGTCAGTATACCGAGTTTAATCAATAAAAGATTGTACAATGAACAACAAAATTCGGAATCGAGTACAATAGATTTGCTTTCGGACCACTGAACAGATTGACCTAGATAATAGCGACGCGTCTTCTTTGGTCTACTGCTCAGTTGTCTGTGGGTTTTCAACGTAACTCTATAATGTAATTTGAAGATGAATACTTTTATTCAGTTGTTGCATCGATGTTGCAGTTTGTAGTGCGGTAAGATTGGCATGAAAGTATTGAAAGTCGAATGGAATTGGTTTTTCCAATATGGCGACTAGTCAAGTGATCACGTGACCTTCTCTTCCGGAATATTTTTCTCACTTTTCAATCATCGTTTTCACCACGCTATGAATCAATACAATGAAAACAATCACTGTTATAATAAGATTGATAAGAGATCAATCGTTTCTAATAATTTTTTCTGTACTCTCGTACAGGAATATGAGCGAATATATCGTTTGAAAAATAGATGTGAAAATCCCCATGTTAAACCTATGAGGGAAAACAAGGAAGTATAAATTTGTTCCTCTGCGAACTGCATCATGGGAAATATTTTGACCTTATAAGGAACGATTTTTGCGTCTCCTCTTTTGAAGAGGGAACAACGATTTCGAGAATTATATCACCCGTAAACTTGACTATTTATATTCCCAAAGTACTGTTTACTGTCTTTACCAACCCATACACCAACATTCTGATACTCAGGATATTTCTGTTTCACCTGAAACATGTTCTGATATTATGAGGCATATTCTGTGATTTGAGCATTACATCAGATGGGAAGTTATAACTCAGTCAATAAGTGTGATAGTTATCATGTAATCCTGATTATTCCATCGAACGAAGAACGAAGATTTTCAAAATGGCCACTCATTTAAAAATGGCAGCCATTTTAATGCCGATTTTACAGTAATTTAGGTAAAATATGTATGTAAAACTGTAAATAGCAATATGTTTTAATTGTAAAAAAATTATATAGGACATTAATAAAGCTAGAAATGTAGATTTTAAAGAAGCACATGGCAGCCATCTTGAAAATGGCGGCCTTTACTCGCCATTTTACGATTTTTGCTGCAACTCGAAAAGACAGTTTTTGAAGAAGGTGGCCATTTTGAAAAATGCCTGCCATTATTATGTAAATACTATAAGCATGGCAAACTGTCTAATGACACTTTTGGAAGAAGGTGGCCATTTTTACGTTTTTACTATAACTCGAAAAGTAATTGAGCGATTTTGTTCATATTTGATAGGTGATTGCATGGCACACTGTCTAATGACACTTTGATTGTGAGTCTCACACTACACCGTTTTTCTTCAAACTTGTTCCATTAAAACCTTCACAGAAACACCTTTCAGTCGAGACATTCCTTTTGTTTACAAAGTCCCTCGTTTTAGCGGCGTTTTGGTTCCCAGATGTGAGAAGTTGCAAATCCTCAGAGATTTCAACCACAATCCTTGATATCTTGCCAGTTCTTCTATCACTCTCCCCCATATTCTGCGCAAGGACTCCCATTACAACCCTCCATCGCTGCATCAACATATTTATTACATGAAACGCAGCAATTTTGAAAAGTCCTAAGCAACTGTTTTGATCAATTTCGAACAGATGCGTAGGAAGTGGTATTTACCGTAGTGACACCTAGACGCAAAACACATGTTTTAATAAGAGGAGGGAAACCCCCATGATTCAATTGGTGACATACGATTTCCCATATTACTTCTTTTGATGACAACTTGGCTAGTGAGCAACCATTTTGAAAATGTTGGTCTCTCTTATGTGTGTTGTTTTATGATATTTGCTATATATTTTGGTTGTAAAAATGCAAGCCATTTCTGTTCGATGGGATTCGCTAAGCTTTGGCGTTGCCGTTGTTCTGGTCTTTGAAATAGCCCCAAAGGATAAAATTTGGGAGTGCAAATCGGCTAATCGGGTGATTTTAGCCGTAATATAGACCAATGCAACTTGGTAAAAATTAATGAAACAGCATTTAACAAGGTTATTGTGCAAGTATAACCTTAATTCTACGCTGAAAAACTGAATTAATAACATTTGTTAGGATTACCCTTTTGGCTCACTAGATATACTTTTGTCACCATTCTACCTCCATGACGGCACATGTGTCATTCAAGAAAAATCATATTTATGACATGAAAATCTTAAATAAATGTTCTCAAATGAGTTCTCAAAGTGCGTGTTTCCAAAAAGTTTTGTAAAAGAATTATGTCAATGATAAAAATAGATATTACTTAATGTATCAGAAATGTACTGCTCAATTTTGACTGGCCAATTTCCTCGTAAAAACTCTCTGATTTTTGAGACTACACCTCGGCATCTATATGAGCTACATTTACTGTTTCAATGTTTTGACTTCCAGGTGCTCCTCGAGTTCCCTGATCTTGTGAATTAGGGAACACTTGCCTCTTTCGCTTAAACATTGATATCAGCTCGCTTCTAAACTTACGGGTGCACACCGAATAAAGAACAACATTTACGGCACAGTTAGCGTAAGCGGCTACAACAGCATATATCGCCAATACAAGGAGCTGGACTTCCGCTTCGATATTTCCTTCGCTCTGGAGTCGGAACAATTCTGGATAAACGAATTGATAAACTGCCGTTGGGGTTACTGCTGCGACGAGGAATACGCTGATGGCGAACATAACGGCCGTCATTGAAGTCATCTTGGTTTGATTGCCGCCTTGGATCATATGCATGCGTTTGTACCTCGCCACCAGCAGCATAGCGATGATGAAGATATTGCAGCCCGTGACGCCAATGACAGGAATCAGTACGAACACGCAGAAATCAATCCAGGGGAAAACAATTATAGCAAAGTGATGATGGTCGTTCTGAACGCTGACATCACAGGACAACAGTTCTGTATTGTTGGACCCCTGTGTAGATTCATACGTGATGAAGAAGTGAAAGTTAATGACAGCAAGAAAGCAACCGAAGATGATAGCTACACAGTATATCCTCAGCCGAGTGAAATAGAATCGCACTTTGTGGGGGACACCAACTGCAACTGCTCGTTCTATCGCCACTAACATCACCAACCAAGCGGAAAAATCTGTGAAAAGATAATTGAAGAATCGATATGTTTTACAATACACACTGGAGCTGCTGGTGAAATCTTTCCCTGTGATGAACATAAGGACATATCTAGTCGGGCCAATCACAAGACAAAGTATGTCCGAAATACTTAGCAATAAAAGAATCTGGCTAGTTGGAGAATCTCGATAACGTCGACGTCTCAGAACAACGATGTTGAGTATATTTCCTAAAATCCCAAACACCATAAAAACTGGTAAAGAAATACGCCAAACTTTTACGGCTATTCTATATTGAAAAAAATCTTCTAATCGTTCCTCGTAACCACTCGTATTAGTATTCATCGTTGCAGTTATTGTTTCTCCTGTTATCGACTGATTTGATGTAAACGGTAAATGCAAAGATATTTATATTCCCCGTCGCATGCAAAATCATTGCATACTTAATACTCCACAGCCAATATTTAAGTATGTACAGCTGTATCCTCGCTAACACAATCTAGACAGTCAGTGACGACCGACATTATACAGGGTGTCTCAAAAAAGGAAACCAGGATTTAGATAAGTTTTGATGTCCTCTTTCTTATGATACCAAAGTTGCATATTTTCCGTCGCGGATGCCTGGGTTCTAAGGGATCTATGCCAGGATGGTTATTTGGGATTATCTCAAGAATAAAGTCTAAACAACATTATCAACGATGATGATCTAGGGCCAGAATTGTTGCAGCAGTGGAAGATCTAAAGGGACAGAGAGACATCATCAGGGACGCACTTCTACTTACGTGCGATGAGATAAGGGCAGACATTTGCATTGAGAGGAATGGGGGTCATGTTGAAGGATACTGGGGTTAAAACAAATTTGAATGCACTTTAAAAGGGATTTAAAAGGGGTGTTAAATATGACATAGTTTAACTTTTAATTGGAATGAATGAGTAAAAGAGTAATATCCTGATGTTTGTTGTTTCTTACCATATATGTTATGCTGGTAAAATTGACTTGGCTGAAAGTGGCACAAACCCATTTCTGACATGGTCACTTAATTCCCCCATTGCTCATTCATTTGTGAATGAAAATAGAACATCTTGGTATCATATGAAAGAGGACATAATGACGCAAATGATGGTATGTGAATTTTCACTAACATTATTCATCTTTCAGAAATTAGCAATTTAAACTTTTTTGAGACACCCTGTAGAAATACTATTTACGTAGGACATAATAACACATCCAGATAACTTCTCCGTGGCATTTTTTCTTTATTCCTTTCTATTTAAACAATTTAACAAACCACCCAATATGCAACTTTGTACCGCGTAGAACAATTAAATAAAGCAATAAAAATACATGGAACCTGTTGTGAAAATTCGAACGCTTTTTCAAGAATCCTCCAAAGTGTTACCAAAGTGTCCCCCCCGGGAATAGGGGAAATAGAAATTTCGTCTTGTGCAATCAAAATAATAGCGGATTGTTTTTTCGACGGAGTTATACACACTACCCTACCTCGATCGCGCATGCGCGATTTTTTGGCTTTCAACCAGGTCGCTTTTGAGTATATCGACTGCTTAGTCAAAAGGTTAATACGTTTGGTGCTCGAAGTGAGTCAATATTGCTATTCGCTGAACTTCAGTGGTGCAATAGTGAAGTCCATGTTTCAAGTTATATGATAGTTGAAGAAAGAATGTAAATAATATCGTTTTAAATTTTAAAATATTTCATATGTCATAGTACACGGTACACAATTGCAAAAGCTGATCAATACAGGGTACAAGAAATGTAAATTTTCAATAGTACAGGGAGCGAGAAAGCAAGCTGATTATACAGACATACATATACTATGTCCCATATCTCATGTACATTTACGTTGCAAACAGTGAAAATAATGCACAAAAAGGCCGCCTATTGATGCTTTGAGGTGTCATCAATTGTTATTTAATCCAAATAAAGTAAACATTATTTTTTGTAGACTTAGACACGGGCTTTCAGGTCGTATATGCATTTTAGTCATTAAATTAACAAGAATGCTAGATCATACGTGTTACTAGGGTATCAAATTGAAATAAAGTAACAAAATTAAATATGAACACGTTAATGAATGGCTATCCACTATCAGTATTAATGACTATCAGCTAGCCTATTCAGAATAATTAAAATTGCCTGAACTACATGTGAAGAATCTTTCTATATAACCCCTTGAATGGTCTAATTCACTACCGTCCTCAAAAACCGATCATTTAAAATATTTTGTTGAACATACTATCATGCCATGACTTTTGTTCTTCACGATTTGCTGTAGCGCTGATATGACCTCATATTTCCCTATTATTGTAAAAAACAATACCAGATCGATGTAGTCTTATTTGACGTGTTGAATGTCAGATGTTTTTGGATTGTATCTGCTCCAGTGATGACCTCAAAACAAACATTATCCTCTTTGTGACAAGAGGAAAAATGTTTCACAATATGTTATGCCTTACGGCAAAGTCAAGATACATTTCTGGGATGACTTTTTACAGTTTTATGCATCTTAAGATTTTAGAAAAACAATTAATTCACAAAAATACAGCTGAATGACATACTAGAAAACGTATCCACATATAACACGATGACACGCAGTTTAAATAACAGTTAACTGTTTTTTTGTTATATATCAATGTAACATTTTCGAAAGGAAACATACATGCTCCCTGTACGTTGATAGATTTACTGAAATGTATCGTGTATTGCATTCGAGTTTTGCTTCACTGCGCCCACTATTATCTATCTTTGTCTATAGTGGTTTTTTGCCAACAATATTCTACAAACTGCTTGATGAATCAATTCTATGACTGGTAGAACACTAGAAATAAATGTAAAATGTACTTTACGTTCAGAAATACATGTATGGAATTAAACCCACGTCCTCCATTTGCAACTTAGCTGTACCCCGTTTTCCTTTTAAACATGGTCACGTGATAGGGTAGTGTGCCATACCACGCCAGCTCTAAACACGCCTAGAAATCTCGGAGATACGCAGAGTTTCTAGACCGGCTAAGCACGTTTAGAAATTACTAGAAATTCCACATTTGATGCAGATGAATTTTATGTTTCTATGGAATCCCTTATTTTGGAGTCTTGTTAAATAATCGAGTTTGATTTTAAACGTTTTCAGGGATCCGGACAGAACTCAAGAGTACTTGAGTACATTTGCATTTAGAATGTTTGCAAGTTTTTCCAAATACCCGGGTCCAGATATCATGGAAGTTGATTCCAATTATGTTCGATGATCATCAACATAAAAGAAAAATATGTATGAATAATTAGCTATAAAACATCTTTATTAAAACGTCCCTACACTTTTAAATGCTGATCTTGCCAAAAAGTACTCTCAATCTGAGATTTAGATGTAGATCGAAAATCAAATTGTTTTCAAAAGTATTTATAGATTGGTTTACACGAGGGGTTCTGTCCATGTGGGTGATTCTTTTCATAACAAAGAGTTGTTTTGCTTCAGGGGTCCAAAATTCTTCAATTTTAAATAGTTATTAATAAGATCAAAAAGACTCGGGGCACTGCCGTCGCCCCATCATGATCAATACAGGTGATAATAAGCGACAGTTATTACAAGACCGTCGTTACAAGACAACTCGATGAAGTTATTCATTCAGGTTTATATTTGTTATAAATATAGACTTGATTGTGTTTCAGACCCGTAGGGCTTTGTATAAAAAACCTCCTACCTCATACCCACCTACCCACCTACGTGGAACATGATACAGTCATTGAAGGGTTCAATTTTAAAGATTGTTAAATCTCAAAATAGCTAATTAAATTATTAACATTTCTACAATTCCGGCTTTATTTTATGACTAGACAGATGATAGATCCATAAATACAGGCATATGGATGCATTTTAATGTGTAATGACCCGAGGGCGCCCTGGGGGAATAAATAACTAACGACCGCGAGCAAGGAGGATTGGCTCCCAGAATCGAAGTCGATATTTTCCAACAATGAAAACGCCGAAATGTCGTTATTTTCTGAAATTATAACCGATTATAAATTCAAAATAAACAGTTCAAAATATTCGAACCAATATCTCGATCATTTCTTGTGAGTTTTGGAATTTTTCGTTGGCAAATAAGACCAAAATTCACAATTCAAATGTTGAAGTGAACAAAATGGCGGTCGTTGGAATTCAAATTTTGTAGCACGACATGCCCATATATGGGACAGAATATCGATGCTGCACTCTGGGAGCCAATCCTCCTTGGACCGCGAGCTTAGGTCCAACAAGCCAGATAAAGAAATTGAAAGAAAGTGTGCTAAAGTCGATGCCCCGAATGGGAATCGTACCCAGCTGGGATGTAGTAGCACCTTGCTATCAAGGGCCGTTACAAATGCATCTATAATTCATCATAAACTAAGATTTAATGAACTAAGATCTTTGAAATTGAACCCTTCAAAGACTGTATCATGTCCCACGTACTTGGGTAGGTGGGTATGAGGTAGGAGGTTTTTTTTATACAAAGCCGACCCGTAGCCAGGATTTGCCAAGGGGTGGGTTACTTTATTCCAGAGGGAGTTCACTTTTGGCAATGTTAGTTCAAAATGGACAAAATAATTTAAAAAATGCTCAGAATGGTGTAAAATAATGCATTTTTGGTCACGGAGGGGGGTCGCTAGAACCAATCTACCTCCCCCTGTATACGGGCCTGCATGTGCTATCTACTTACTTACTGCGAAAGCTATGTGGATTTTGATATAATAGCTTTCCCACGGCGCACTTGGGCAGCTGAATAATAATGACCCTTGAAACACGAATTAAGTCGATCAGGATCGATCAGTGGCTTACTTTTGGTCTCTAACTGTGTCTTCCATCGGTATCATCAATCCGTGCAAGTATTGGAGCGCTGAAATACTTCTTTTTCGATCAAGACTTGTAAATCGTTCGTCGAGTGAATGTTTTTTTCAACCCATTTCCAATATGGCGGTTTGCTAGGAGCGAGATACGCAACGAACGAAATGAATTTTGAGAATGAGTTAGGTTCGGACAACCTCCGGAGATTTACGAGCAGAAAACGCCATATTGGAATTTAGCCAGATTTAGCAGAAAAAAAGATTCACTCGACTAACAATTACAAGTCTTGATCGAAAAGGAAGTACTTCAGCGCTCCAATACTTGCACGGAAGGATGATAATGATGTATGACATAGTTAGAGAACAAAAGTAAGGCGCTGATCGACGCTCAGAAGTCACGATTATTCAGCTGTCCATTTCCCCGTTCGAGA